CCTCCTGGGCGGCGCCGCGGTCTTCTCCGCGCTGGAGCTGGCGCACGAGCGCCAGGCCAAACAGCGCTGGGAGGAGCGCCTGGCCAACTTCAGCCGCAGCCACAACCTGAGCCGCGAGGAGCTGCGCGGTTTCCTCCGCCACTATGAGGAAGCCACCAGGGCCGGCATCCGCATGGACAACGTCCGCCCGCGCTGGGACTTCACCGGCGCCTTCTACTTCGTGGGCACCGTCGTGTCCACCATAGGTAAGTGAGCCGGTGGCCTCCACTTTCCCGGCTGGGCAGGAGCGAGCCTCTCGGTCTCCGTTTATCCACGGGGCGCCCTGCCGGTCCCGCCAGGTGAGCTGTCTGCTACCTGATCAACAGGTGTTAGTGCCTTCCTGCTACCCTAACCGTGGACCATGGACTGCGGCACCTGTGAGCTCCTTAGGGAGCAGTGTAAGGAAGCCCCTCCGCAGGCCTCCTGAGTCAGAGGTGCCTTTCCCCCACTCCCAGGGGATTTGAGTGATCCTTAAATCGGAGAAGGCTCTGCTCTAGAGATTTTCAGTCTGATTATGGAGACAGGACCGAGTTCGTGAATTCTAGGGAGAGGGCTTGCGATGGACATTTTATTAAGAACTGCGCATAGCCACTGGTCAGAGGGAAAACCCCCGTTTAACGAAACTCCGTCCCTGACTTCAGACTTAGAGAAACTCAGACAGAATTCCAGATGGAAAGTAAGGAGGCCAAAGTGTGAATGAGGCTGTGAAGGGTGGAAAAATGTTTCCTGCTGGGAAGAACGGGGGCGGCGGGCGGGGGGAGCGACCCTTGGGCTGAACTCGTTAGTGTTTGATGTTATTTGGGCCTAAAGCTGATTTGCACTTTGGAATAGGGGAGAATTGCACGTGAGGCCATGAACTGGCTGATCTCCTTGGAGCAGTGGAAAGAAATAAAGCTAGGAAGGTCTGCTGTCTAATTGAGAGGGAACTTTACTGTCAGATTTAGGGGTTAGAACGTATCAGGAGGCATTGAGAGCCATTGAGAATTCTGAGCAAGAATGTAGCCTGGTTACCTTCAATTATGCCTTTATTCTCCAGAAGGGAAGCAATGGTGCTTATGCATGTGTGTGCACTACATCCTTTAAGACTGACTGTTCACCTTGAAGCATAGTGATAAGGGGTTGGGGACACGCGGTAGAAATGCTAGGCAGAATGGAGTCTGGGGTGGTGATAGGATGGAAGTTTATGCAGAAGGAAAGGAAGTGGCTTGCCTCTACCAGAGCACAAGGAGCAGCGAAAAGGCTTGGAGCAGCAGCAGCCACCACCACCCATGGTACTAAGGAGTTGTGCTGGGTGCTCTGTAGTTGAGACCCCTGTGCTCTGGAGAAGGGCTTGGCAGGGAGGTGGGTGACAAGGAGAACCTCCTTGAGGCTCCTACTTATCCGTGTTCTGTACCTGATCTGTCGATCTGCCAGGGAGGGTGCAGCAGGTAGCAAGGGCCACCCCCAGGCTTTATTCATCAGGTAAGACTTCCCAAGGCTAACCTAGGTACCCCTGGCTTCAGACAGGGAGGACTGGCATGATTGCAGACAGGCGGGCTTTATCTGAAGTGCTCTGTATGCAGTGGTCCCAATCACAACCCTCATCCCAACCAGGTGTCCCTGCCCAACAGTGGGCCATGATGATACCACAGATAACTGGGTAACTGGCAAGAAAATCTCAGAGTAGTCTCAGTGATGATGAGAAGCCCCAGAAACCGCAGGAAATAAAAGAGGAGGAGGAGTGTCCCCCAGGGTTCCCACCCCCAGCCCAGTCTCTGCTGGCCTCTCTTAAGGAGTGTTCCACAAATCCCTCTTCATGTCACCTCCCACGACCCAGTAGACGGCTCTAGAGTTTCTACTAGAGGAGGGTTGGGGTGGACAGTGATTAAGAGGTGTTGCTTTGGTGCTTGAGTCTGCTGTGTTTTGCTCAGCAAGTACAGGATTTTTTTTTTTTTACTAAATTATATTTGAGCTAATCTTGATGGAAGATTCCAAGGACTGAATCCTGCCCCCTACAAACCACTTCTTGGTGCTCTCTGTAGATGTGGAGGTAGGAAGGAGCAGGGTCTGTGTGAACTGGCGACCATCACGGCCATGGAAATTGAGAAGGCCATGGGCCAGTGGTCATGTAGGGACACTGGCTTTTGAGCTGCAAATACGATAATGTACCAGGTAGAGTAGAACAAAACGTGGTCACAGAGCCTGGAGTTGGAACATTGGGTCCTACCTCAGTAACTTGGCCAACTTTCTTAACCCCTTTGAGTCCTGTCCTTCAGGAGAGGAATCTGGCACACTGTAGCTGTTGGCTAACCATTAGTCCTGCCTACCTCCTGCCCACCTCCTGCCCGTGCCTCTCTTAAACCTGCCCTTCTGGGCTTCTTTCGAGGGACAGTGAGTTTGTGTGAAAGAACAAACATTAAAAAGAACAAAGCGTAGTATTATTTTTACTTCCTCATTCTTAAAATTTGCTTTTTGAATTATTTCACTTATTACTATTACAACAGCACTTAACTGTTTTTCATTAGTTATTCCAACAGCCATTTGTATACCTGTGTTCATAGCCGTATTCACAATAGCTGAAAGGTGGAGATCCACAAGATAAGAACCCTCCAGACTCCAGCTTCTCAGCCTTCATGTTGCTGACTAAGTCAGGGCCCCTATGCTTTCCACATAGACAAGTGCCCAGGCTGTGAGGGAAAGGAGATTGTTCATCTACTGCCTTGGTAGCTTCCTTGCCAGCCGGAAGTCAAGTGTACCAAGGGGCAAGTTAATCAAGCATTATCCAGATTCAGGCTGTGCTGGGATTGGGCTGATGAGATACTTATGAGCATCTGAGAAGCTCATATGCACAGCTGCCCTGTCCTGCCTTGTGGTTACCATTCAGTGTATGTGAGCAGATTTTCAACAAGAGTTGTATTCATTTTAATTGAACAAAAGCAATCCTGTTCGTGTCCATTTGAGCCTGGGTGTGGCTCACGATGAGCAGTTGGGTAGCTCTGCCGCAAGAGGTTCTCAGGGGCTCAGAGCTGGCTGGCAGGTGTGCGACTTGGCTCCCTCTGTGTGTAATCTGGGTGACACTGAACTGGATATATGGTTTTGGGGAATCTGTTTTTTCCATGTGGACACAAGGCTAGGGAAAGAGCTTTTGAAAGCAAATTTTATTTGGCCTATGCAATAAAAAATTGAGAATCACTGTTTTACAATACCAAGTTATAAACATCCAAGATGAACGGCCATTCAAAAATTGAAAAAAAAACATCCCATCACTGCTAATGGGTGTTTCACATGTGTCAAGATTTGAATCACACAGCAACTGGCACATTATGTTTTGCAAAGTATTTGTGCAAACCTTATGAGGCAGGCAGGGAAGTCCTTAATTTCATCTTACAAATATAGAAACTGGGATGTAGAGGATATAAACATCTTGCAAAACTAACAATTCTAAAGTGGCAGACTCAGAATTAGAACCAAGTTTTGTTTAGTGTTTGATGATAAAAGAAATATGTTCATTTAGAAGACTGGTTGGCAACTTAGTCCATTTTCTAGTGCTAATGACACAGTAGCACTTTGGTTCACATTTCTACTTCTTAATCAAGGGTCCATATCTAGTGATGGCCTCCTGCTGGCAGAATCCTCCTGGGTACAGAGTATCTGTCGTGTAGCAAAAGACAAGCAAATGTGTCTGTTTCTCCTGATCTCGTTCATAAAACCACTAGGATTCAGTTGTGGGGGCCCCACCCTGATGATTTTATCTAATCCTGATCTCTTCCCAGACCCCCTCTCAGAAGCATAGTCAGATTAAGTTTACACCTTTTCATACCTCACAAACTCTAACAGGAGTTTCATAGGAGACAAAACCACACCATATGGACAAGTGTAAGAAAGTAGAAAATCACCCGCATAATTCTACCATGCAGCAAGAATCACTGTTAACCTTCTGGTATATTCTATTGAACTGAAAGTGCCATTTTATTGTGCCATTAGGTAAGAAAAGCTGCCAGTTAAATTCTGACACAGCAGTATGAGATGCATCTCAATTTTGGAAATACTAAAATGTTGCTAAAAGATGCATCCTAAAGACCATTACAATGTGTTTTGTTTCTTGCTGCTTTCCTTACTACTATTAACAGATGAACATATGGTTGTAATTAAGTACAAGTGAATCATAATTAAAATTTCTTTTGTTTATGCCCAAGTTGACTGATTTTTAAATATGAAAGGTACTTTAAATATCTATCTTTTAAAAATTCATCTCTGAATCAACTAGTTAATTCTTTCCCATTTTTCTATCGGAAGCAGGATGGTGTGTTAGCGCATTGTGTGCTTTATATTTGAAGGATTTTAGCCCCTCACCCAAAGGCAAAATGTTAGTATCATGCATTTTGTGCTTTGTTTTCTGTTCAGTGTTTGTTATCATTTAGAAAGAGAAATATTTCTCATATATTTATTTTTACCTTTCAGTCTTTTTCTTGCACTTTCCTGCATTATCTTTGTGTTCAGAAAATCTTTTTTCTATCGACATCTTACAGAGTGCAAGTTTTGTTTAGTATTTTTCCAGCTGCTCTACATTTCCAGTCACAGCTGTAGTTTTCAAATCACTTTACTGTATTTTTCCATATGCACAGTAGCAGATGTATTTTAGAACCCTAGCTGAGGACCAACACAGAGTTCTGGGAAATAAGGGACAGAGAGAAGGGCTGAGGAGGGTTTGCGTTCACTCAAGGTGGGACAAGAGGGCCATTCCTCTTGAGATCCATCTTGTAAAATTTCATGGAAAAGCTCAGATTGTCCACTTTGAGACTCCTGGCTTGGTTTAATTATGTGATTCCTACATAGATCAGGCTGCCTTCAAACATACAATCGTTCTACATCAGCCTTCTGAGGGCTGGGATTGCAGGCATGCGCCATCATGCCGGGCTCCACGGGCGTGGCAGTCTAACTTTAAAGCCACGCTATGGTGATCAGTTGAGTCTGAGGAGTTCAAGTCCCCAGTTAGAAGCTTGGATCACCTGTGAGCTCTGGGCTTCTTCCCTGGGGAGTGAGAGGGACAGGAAGCCCTGACTCTTCTTTCTTAGTAGCAACACAGTTCATGCAAGTACCTCTTCATGTAGGACCCGTGGTCACCCCGAGGGTAAAGCACCCATGTTAATTGTTCACTGTGCACTCACACATTTCTTAATTGAATAGGGACAGTTGTAGCCTCTTAAGTCTTCCTGTTGTCATGGTT